CTTTAGATCTCTAGCTTATTATTTATTTGCCAAATGCATGTAGTATGCATGAAATGTTATAAATTAAAAATGAAAGTAGGAATAAAATTTTAAAACTTTAGTTACTAAGTTAACTAGCTGTTATATTCTTTTTGGTATTATTTCACCTAATTGTTTAACCATATTCGTGTTCTTTTATAATCATAAAAACACCCTTTTAAGTTTTCATTTTCCACACATGGGCTTACATACAGACCGTTATTGAACACGAACGGTTAACCATGAGCACTAACAAGAGAGCTGCTGTTCTAATGTCAGCAATATCACGCGTTTTGAAATATATTTATATTCTTAGCATTTGTAGACACTTCTTTCTTGTGTGTATATAAGCTAGGAAAACAACAACAGCTGCAAAAAGTACCATAGAATATATTAACAACTTACGTTTTAAACACTGCGCCTGGCAAGCTTGCATCATCATGCCAACAGCCATTATCCACAAGTTGTACTTCGTTAGATTCGGACTATTTTCTCGTAGTTTATAATTTAAATTTGTTAAATGCTGTTAAAATTTATTTTAATTCAAAGTAAAAGTTATATTACCGATAAAAGCAATTTAAATTAATTCCTTGAATTTTTAACGATTTTTTGGAAATTTACTTTGCAAAGGACGACTACTTCCTTCGAAAACTGGTTCCCGGCCCCGTAATCTAGACGCTAATGGACGAGTTTACCATGTTAAATCTCCGTAGACTTTGAATTTGCCGCCGTGTGTATACACTGGTTGACCTCGAGGGTTCGGATAAACGGTGGAAGGTTGGAAAGAAATGATCTATTGATCGGAACTGGGTTGAAAGCCAAGGTATTTATATATTTTGAGATTTTATGCGAAAAGTGCTTACAGTAACTTGGTGGGACAGACTATAGTTTCAAAGTGGTGGTTTCCTTTTTGAATAATTTTATATAATATACAATATGTCACAAGAGTTATAATAGACAAACTTTCTCATCAGAAAAGTAGATGTTTTTCAGAAAATTTGCTCATATTTCTGTATGATTATTGAATCTCCGGATATATAATAATATAAGATAAGATTTCTTCAATATATTTTGAGTATTAAAGCAAAATTGAGTTTTATGGGGGAAATCGTAATATTTAGTCTTCTACTGGTATACGTTTGATCATGATGGATAAAGGAATTGAGTATCCTTTTAAAAATAACACATTAACGTGTAACAAAATCTTACACGTCAAAATAACGTCTGCCAAGAAGATTTATCACCATAAACTCTTATTCAATCTTAAAACAATTTATGAGGCAATATTGTCAACCAATATTCAGATTGAAATAAAGTGAGAAAAATATTTTGATTAGCCCAAAAGAGATAAACTTGGGTACAAATTTGCCAAATTAAAAGATACTGAAGGAGTGGCATACCCTTGGATCTGATAAATGGAAAGATTATTATTTTTTTATTATCAAATGTTCGTCTTTTATCGATCTTTCCTATGAACTACAAAGGGTATTGAAATATAATATATGAGGAAAGTCTAATTTATCAGGTTGAATGTTGGAGGGTGGGGAGTTATCTATGTAAAATAAAAAGTAATCTACAGTTAAATTTGGAGGAAATGGCGCTGTTATTTAAATATTAATCCTTACCATAAGATTTAGTACAACTCACAAGCAGAAATATCAGGACAATGACAATAACCATCCTATCTGCCTCTCTTTTCTACTGAAAATAAAATTTTTGAAACCATTTTTATGAGGGCTGCCCGGTAAAATAATGGACAAAACGTGTTTTCTCAAAAAAATAATTTATTGGCACACGAAGCTGAAATTTTTGTTCACTATTTTCCTAAAGACATGTAGAGTTAAATAGTATAATTGCTCAATATATTTTTGTTGAATGAAACTAAGGAGCAATCTAATATAGCATCATTAATAATATCACAATAAAGCATGACTATGGAGAGAACGATCATAGGCATTTATGCCTGCTGTTCAATCCATTTCTTTATATGAATAAAATATATTTTAAACTGAATAAAGCATCAATACTAATACATTGTTTTATTACATTGAGAAATAAATTGCAACTAACTGCCAACATTGTGAGTAATTGCCAACATTGTGACTAACTGTCAACATTGTGACTAACTGTCAACATTGTGACTAACTGCTAATATTGTGAGTAACTGCCAACATTGTGAGTAACTGCCAATATTGCAACTAACTGTCAACATTGTGAGTAACTGTCAACATTGTGAGTAACTGTCAACATTGTGACTAACTGTCAACATTGTGACTATCTGTCAACATCGTGACTAACTGTCAACATTGTGAGTAACTGCCAACATTGTGACTACCTGTCAACATTGTGACTAACTGTCAACATCGTGACTAACTGTCAACATCGTGACTAACTGTCAACATTGTGACTAACTGTCAACATTGTGAGTAACTGCCAACATTGTGACTAACTGTCAACATTGTGACTAACTGTCAACATTGTGACTAACTGTCAACATTGTGACTAACTGTCAACATTGTGACTAACTGCCAATATTGCAACTAACTGTCAACATTGTGACTAACTGTCAACATTGCAGGCTTGGGGTAATGCTAATTGTAATGGTAATGCATTGCAATGCATTACATGAACTCAAGGTAATGCTAGTAATGTGTAATGCCCAAAAATTTGCATTACATGTAATGGTAATGGTAATTATAACATAGTATTACAAAGCATTATTTTGTATGTACCTATTTGAAGAAATTAAAATGGACATGGATGATGGAAATTATTGTTTAGGTTATTTTTTATTATTTATTTTTATTTCTTTGCAAATGATAAAATTGAAAAAAAAGTTAACCTATTTAAATAAAATTTCTGTATCTATTTAAATACATTTTTTATTCTGTTGAAAGTACACTTACCTTACGTTTAAGTTTTCAAACGTATTTCAATAAGAATTAATTTTAAAGATTTATATAAAATAGTTTTAAAAAATCTTTTTTTTAAATAAAAAATCACATATGAGATACACTATTATTATATACAGTGAAAACTGATAATTGCCACCTTTTAAATAGCTAGAGTGTCATCAAAACACACTATGCCTTTGGGTTATGTAACAATTAAAACAATGCATTGTTTGGAGAAATGCTCCAAATTTCCAGTTCCTTTCTCCTGACTGTTTTTATAAAACATTAATTAAGCTGGTCTGCATGTAGCTTGTACTGACCATGAAAATTTCATTGTACCAATTAGAAGACATGCAGGCATTGTATGATTAGCAGATAAAAATGTACATCGTCATCCTGTCTACTTTTTCAAAAAGTTTGTCAATGCATTTATTTCTTTCATAATTTAAGGTACTAATCAAAATAGCCTGTATACGTTATTATTAAATATTTTTGGGCAGCTAGGGGTTAAAGTGCCCCAAAGGTTAATTGCTTCATAACATCAATAGTTAAACAAAAAGTGGATATTGTACATGTCTTGTATAACTGACAATTTAAAAGTCTGAACTTTCTGTGAATGTAAGTTATTGACAATGTAATATATACAAAAACTTGAAATCAAATTTGAATTATTGAATATCATGTTTAGTTTTGAAGGGGGTGGATACATACTTATGAAAAAAAATCGCTATATTTTGTATACATTTCTATGTTTAAAAACCTCCAAAAGTAATGGTAATGGTAATGCATGACTTTACTAAAGTAATGGTAATGTAATGCATTACTTTAAGAAAATAGAGTAATGGTAATGGTAATTTAATGCCCAAATTGTTGAAGTAATGGTAATGTTATGCATTACTTTACAATGTAATTGTCCCAAGCCTGCAACATTGTGACTAACTGCCAATATTGTGACTAACTGCCAATATTGTGACTAACTGCCAACATTGTGACTAACTGTCAACATTGTGACTAACTGCCAACATTGTGACTAAATGTCAATATTGTGACTAACTGTCAACATTGTGACTAACTGTCAACATTTGACTAACTCAACTCAACATTGTGACTAACTGCCAACATTGTGACTAACTGTCAAAATTTGTACGGTACTTATTAGCTTAGAATCATGAAACTTTGTAAATTAATTCATCTTGGGTCTTCGAAGAATGATGTCCAAAAAGTAGGTCACTGTGACCTAATTTCGACATTTTATGGCTTTATTTAAGTATCTTATGTATTTATTGGCTTAGAATCATCAAACTTTGTGAGTTGATGCGTCTTAGGTTTTCAGAGAGTGACGACCAAAAAGTAGGTCATGGTGACTTACTTTTGACATTTTATGGCTTTATTTAAGTATCTATAGTACATGTTGGCTTAGAATCATCAAACATCATCAGTTGATGCATCTTGGGTTTTGGAGAATGGTGTCTAAAAAAGTAGGTCATGGTGACCTAATTTTTGACATTTTATGGCTTATTTAAGTATCTATGGTACTAACTGGTTTAGAATCATCAAATTTGTTAATTGATGCATCTTGGGTTTTTAGAGAATGTGAGACCAAAAAGTAGGTCATGATGACCTACATTTGAATATCTCAGGTACTTATTGGCTTATAATCATCTAACTTTGTCTGTTGATGTATCTTGGGTTTTCAAAAATCGTTTACAAAAAATTAGGTCACAGTGATCTACTTTTAAATGTCTCAAATACTTACTGGCTTAGAATCTTCAATATTTGTCTATTAATGCATCTTGAGTCCTCAGAAAACTTCAATCTTAAAATAGGTCACTGTGACGTACTTATGGTTTTTTATGCTTTATTATTAAAAATATCTTCAGCCCTAATTGGTTAAGAATCATCAAACTTTGTCAGTTGATGCAGCTTGGGTCTTAGGATACTTATAAATTAGGGTTAGAGGCTTCAAATAGAAGTGATAGATTGTACAATTTATCAGAAGAGCGATTCAAGGCCCTTGGGCCTCTTGTTTATAATATTATTTATAAAAAGATAAAAAAAAAGATAAAAAAAGAGAAGAAGTTTAAACTTTTAACCTAAATTATTTTAATTTACAGAATGCCCACTTGGTTTTTCGGATTCAAATGTACTGGTATCTGTAGTAGAACATGTGCTACGCCAGGTGTTTGTGACCGATTTACCAGGTCTAGGCGGCCTCTGTTTTTGGAGGATAGATTTTATCCTCTAGAAACAGAGGATGGAGGTGTCGCCACCTACCGGACTTTTCAAAACAAAGGGAAGTATAAACCAAACAAATAACAGCAACTCTTGCATCTCAAGTCCCAGTTTATGTACCGTACTCTGATTTTTCAACCAAAACAAATAAAAGGTTAAATTTCATACGATGATGGTTAAATATAGGTATTTAAATCATTTCAATAAATTTTGGTAATTTGCTGTCAATAAATTATTCATTTGAAAGCTTTGTTAAAGACCCTTTTCTGTCTGAAAATAAGTTATAGCCAACCTCATATTCCGGTAAAATAATTATGTGTTAACAGCATAAAAGTTTTAAAAAACATAATTTTGAAAAATTCAGTTTCATAATTATTTCATTTAATAAGACGGTAGAGGAATTTTTCTTTGAAGTTTGCTCTTCTGCACGGGACTACAGTGGGCGGAGCTACTTTCCGTTCTGTATTACGTAGTCTTCTATACTGTTGTATGTGTATACATCTAATAAAACTGAAATATTAAGACCCCTGAAATAAATTAGGATCAATCTCCATCTACAGCAAGGTTAGACCGTCCCCCTTATCAATTAAGACTGACTTAAATTCAATTGCGTCTACCCGTTGTCAAAACTAATCTGACTGAAACTTACGTTGTCCGTGGAAATATATATACTGCGAATGCATGGTCCCCGTCGAGGCCTCATCTAAGAACTCTAGCGGAAGTTTAGATGCTGCACAGCTAAAAAGTGGGATTTTTTTTCTTATTTTCTCTAAATAATATTTATTTCATCTTTGCTTAAATTATCAGGCAGAGTGTATTTTGTCTTTACAGTACGTTTTCTTTTGTGTTTCCTTTTCCTCTAATCTTTAATTAAAAGAAATATGAAAGTAATGTTATTTATGTATTGTTTGAGCATTTAAGTGCCTTTTTATTTGTTCTGATAGGGAAAAAACATAAAAATTAAACAAAATAACAAGAAATATTGAGTAGAAATGAAGCGCAAGAAGTGCTAACTTTGAAACGTATTGTAAAAATTCTAGACATAGAATCTCAAATCGCCACATACAATTGATAGTTTAATGTCTGATCTTTTATTTAATTGTACTCTGGTGATTGCACTTTTTGATTAAAGGTAGGCATGCGGCGTTTGAAAATTACCTGTGCTATCCTCTGAAATCAGAAGATAAACTATCCGACATTGCATTGCGATTTCCATATATGGTAAAAAATTTGGCTGCCATATTGAATCTAGCTATCCTCCAAAAACGGAGGCCGCCCAGACCTGTTTACAGGGACTTGCTTTGATGGATGTTTACCAGGATTCTCGGGAGATCGATGTCTCAATGGTATCGTTACTTTTTTATCCCCCTCTTCGATGAAGTGAGGGCATATTGCTTTGCTGCTGTCTAGAGTCGTCTGTCTATTGGTCCATCAAGTTGAAATTACCGTTCATCTTCTTTTTGCAGAGGTTGCATATACTGTAATAACATTTATTATACAGATTAATCATAAAAATATCTGGGTCAATTATTGTTTTTGGTACGATCGAGCAGTTTTTATAAGAGTTAAGCTCCTTGTACCTAGAAAAATTCCAATGATTTGCATTTTTCGTTCCTTTTTTGGCAGAGATTGCACATACTGAAATTAAATTTTGTATACAAATTACGATAAAATATTTACGTCAAGGTTATTTTTGGATACAATCGAACAATCTATTAAAAAGTTTTGCCTCTGCATGTTTCTGCAGTCTTCGTTCATTTTTGTGGTATGTATTTCATTGGTAATGGGACATAAGTGTTTCACTAAGTTAATCATATCTTGTCTACAGGAATAGCAGTGTCCGTCATCAGATTTAAAAAAAAAAATACATGTACGACGGGTGTTACAAAAGTTAGCAGACTAGTTCTAGTGTGAGCGCGCGATTTCCACAAAGCCGGTCAAACTTCCCGGATAAACTCAAACTATTTTCCAGTAAATATACAAAGATTTGGTGCTCTACAATGATTATTGAGAAATAAACAGCTTTTTATTTTGATAAAACTTGCTTCACGGAGCATGCTACATTTTGGCACGTTCACATCACAAAGAATCTTTATCAAAATTAAAAACTGCACAATTGTAGCGCAAAGAGATTTATGGTACTTTACCTCTCGCTAAAGTATTTATGAAACGTCACTGGGAGAAATTTCGAATAAAATTGGGGGGTATAAGACTGTTTTATAGCCATTTATAAATGATCAACGCGTAAAAACAGAGCATAAAATCGGAACGTCATCATTCGTCTTGGAGCACCGCACTATATAAAAATTATGTGTGCGGACAGAAAAATGTCCAAAGACATTAAAATGTTTAAGATGCTGCCGGGAATTTTCTACACATACAAAGGACAAAGTTTTCAAATGGTTGTAGCTGTATAAGAATGGAAGGATTAACATTTTATATGATTAACTCCATCGATACTTCACTACCCCCTTATCTCATGGACGTTGTGCCTATATGGTTTTGCATAGTTTCCATTCCATTTATAAGATCTCAATAATATCCGAATCAGTACAATCCGAAGCAGTACAAAAGACATTATAATAGAAAAATAACATGTCTTGATATAGATATTCAATTTAGAAATAGAAAAAAGATAAGAAAAACCTGTAGAAATGAAAGATTCAAAGAACTGGACAAAGTTTAACGGGTTGAAATCTGGTTGTCACGTCACCTTACCTCAAGTGATTGCTCCGTGAATCCCATAAGCTCATAGTAAAAATCGTTGTAAATTTTCAAGCTTTAAGTAAATGGACCTGAATTTTTACATACTAATAAACAAAATGTAGGAATTTATTCAGACATAGGTAATACTTCACAGTACACAATATATTTTCCGCAATTCAATGTGTCCACGAACTATTTTAACAACCCTACCATTCTACCAGAAATATTCCACTGATGAGCGAGAAGTAACACCTTGTCTTCAATAATGTACATTGTATCTTATTTCCATTTCAAAAGAAATTTTGAGGCAAGAACTTATTGATGAAGAGCAATATTAAGATTTTATTATTTCCAGTGTTTCTTTTAAACACATCTGAAACTTCCCTTTTCACAGATTTGTACTGTGTGTAAATATTTTGCGATCATCACCTTAGTAAATATTATTCACCCTTTAAAAAAAAAAATAGCAAATTGCTGCTGTTTATATCTTTTTTGTATATTATGAAAACTTTCGCCAATTAATAAGCTTCCTGGTATATGCAAAATCCGTTTATAGTTTGTAGACCCGGTAAATATACGGACGCAACTGTAGAGAACCTTGTGGTTTCTGCAAAGATAAAAAGCCATGTGATTGATTGATTTTATATTGTTTAACGCCGAGTCGGCAATTTTTAGAGCCATATTTCGGAGGACTATAAGGTTAATGGATAAATAAAGTTTTTGGTTTCTCTGGCGGCCCCCAATGAGCCTACTCTTTTTCGAACTCCAGAGAAACGATCTTTTACCTGCCAAGGGGGTGTCATCCTTGACACGGGGCACCATTTAACGTCCCGTCCGACGGACTTAAATATATTTTTTAAATATATAAACTGTTAAAAATAGTGTATAAACTGTTGATAAAATAAATTCATATATGCTAATGCATTTCTAATTAAAATTACTTTCAAGATTTTATTCAAATTTTACTATAATAATCCGTTTCTTGTAGATATTCTAAAATTTTGTAAACATGAACATTTGTAAAAAGTTCATACATTGTTTTTATACTTCCAAAAAGTCTACTTCGAATAGGTGTAAAATCGGAACATTCTAAAAGTATGTGATTTATAGTTATTGGACAGTCACAGGATATGCATTCTGGCTGTGACTCCCGATTCAATAAAAATATTCATGTGTAATTTTTGAATGCCCAATACGTATTCTTGATATAATTACTTCGTCCTGACGTTTCAGACCGAAGTGAGGTGATTTGTTAACTTTGTTTTCAATAGCGTAAAGCTTACTTTCGTCACAAAAATTCCAATAAATTTGCCAAAGAGAATTAACATAAATTTTAACGAGATATTTCAAATCGGTGTAAGGAATTTTGAATAAAGTAATTTGATGTTGAAGTGCATTTTTGGCAGCACTGTCAGCTCTAGTATTTCCAGGGATTCCGACATGACTCGGAATCCAACAAAAAATTACTGTTTTACCTTGTTGCGCCAAATGATAATATTGAATTAAAATATCTAAAATGTAAGGTTGATCAATATTCTTATTTTGTATAGATTGTAAGCGGAGCAAATCCGAAAATATTGTGAATATTTTTCCACTAGAAGATTTTTATATATTCAAATGCAAGTTGAATGGCCTTTGCTTCGGCGGTAAAGATTGTTGCTTCATTTGGGAGCCGTGTAGAGAAAATACTGTCTTCCATCACGGCAGCTGATGCTACTTTATTTTTATCCTTTGAACCATCTGTATACACCTCAACTGTTGAACCATAAGAATGTTTTATTTCGGCATATTTTTGTTTAAAAACAAGACAATTTGTTTTCGATTTTCTTAAATTCAGTTAAAGATAAATCTACGGTTCGGATTTATTAATTGCCATGGCGGTATTTCCGAAAAATTAGAAGGTTTTATAATATCCAAAGGTAATTCAGAATCTCTTATATGTTTTTTAGATCTTAGACCAAGGGGTTTTACACATGATTTTCTCTTATGATACAAGTCTTCGTACTGCGGATGAAAAACACAATTATAAGCGGGATTATTAACATTTGCTTTTAATTTCAAAATATACTGCAAAGTAAGTTTAATTCTTCGTAAGCCGAGAGGCGGTTCGTTTGCCTCAACATATAGACTGTCTTTAGGAGAAGTTCGAAAAGCTCCCAAGCACAGTCGGAGGCCTTGCTGGTGTATTGCATCTAGAGCTTTTACGTATGAAGTTCTTGCAGAGCCATACACAATACAGCCATAATCTAACTTGGATCTAACTAAAGAACGATATAGTTTTGAAAGAGTATCTTTATCTGCCCCCCATTTAGTATTTGCAACTACTTTAATAACATCTAAGGCCTTTGTGCATTTTTCTTTTAGCATTTTAATATGTGATACAAATGAAAGTTTACTATCAAAAATTATACCTAAAAATTTTATCTCCTTAGCAACTTTTATAGGATTTCCATCTAGTAGTAAATGTGGTTTGTCATGAGCCTTCCGTTTAGAACAGAAATGCACACAGGCGGTTTTACTTTTTGAAAAATGATCCATTTGTATCAGCCCAGTCTTGAATTTTATTTAGGCAAGACTGTAATTTTCGTTCAATATAATTCATGTTTTTAGCTTTATAACAAAGAACAAAATCATCCACATATAAACTTCCATGCATATCATTTTTCAGTACTTCAGCTAAGCTGTTAATTTTCATATTAAATAAAGTGACTGATAAAAAAACTACTGCCTTGTGGTACACCCATTTCCTGTTCAAAGCTTTCCGAATAAGTAGACCCCAAGCGGACTTTAAAATGTCTATCATTTAAAAAATTCTTAACAAAAATTGGTAAATGCCCTTTTAGGCCCATATTGTCAAGATCTTCTAAAATACCATGTCTCCATGTAGTATCATATGCTTTTTCTAAATCAAAAAACACAGATACAACATGCTCTTTTTTTGATAAAAGCATCTCGAATATAGGTTTCCAGTCTTACCAACTGGTCAATTCTGCTTTGGTTTTTTCTAAAACCACATTGTATATTAGATAGAATATTATTGGTTTCAAGAAACCATATGAGGCGTTCATTAATCATCCTTTCCATGGTTTTACATAAGCAGCTTGTTAAAGCAATTGGTCGATAATTATTTGGATCCGTATGATTCTTTCCAGGTTTTGGAATAGGAATAATAGTAGCCTGGGTCCAGGGAGGTGGAAATTGACCTCGCTCCCAAATTTTATTAAAAATTTTTAAAAGACACTCTTTGCTGTTTATAGGAAGGTGTTTGATTATTTGGTAATGAATCTGATCTGGTCCTACAGCTGTATCATGAGACTTTTCTAAGGATTTTTGAAGTTCGTCAATAGTAAATGGCTGATTATAACATTCATTGTTTTCAGATGTAAAATTTAATGTTTTATTTTCTTGAGATGTTTTATGTTTACTAAATTTAGGGCTCACATTTTTTGTGGAGGAATTTTTATGAATTGTACTAGCTATTTCATTGGATATTTGTTTTTTATCCGTAATAATTTGATTTCCAACCTTCAGATGCTCGTAATATTTTTCAGGACCTTTTCCCTTGAACTTCCTGTATTGCGTTCCAAACCTTATTGATAGGAGATGTGAATTAATGTTGGACATGAACTCTTTCCAAGATTTTCGTTTATTAAAATTTATAGTTCTCCAAAGTTTTGCTTTAAATATACGGAAATTGCTTAAATTTAAAGAGATGTTGGTAATCTATTAAATTGTCTTTCTGCTTTTTTGCGAGCTTTAATAGCATCATTACATTCTTCTGCCATGTGATAGCATGACTGGAATCTGCGTGAATGGATGCTTGAGCTATCTCTATGGGGATAAATGTATAACGGGTAAGAACTGAATTGATCGTAAAAATGCTATGAATTAATAATTAATTCGACTTAAGTTAATTTATAAATTGATAGCTTTTATATTTCTGGTACCTTTTTCTTATTCATATTAATTCAAGTTTGAAAAATATTCTTAATTTTTAGCAGGAAAAAGTAACAAAACTTAAATCAACTAGTATAGAACAAGGAATAAATATCTGTATTATTATTACACGCTAAAAGTGGAAAAGGAAAACATAGAATAAATTCACAGTTCGTCATCACTTTGAAGTATACGTTTTTATTAAGATCTTTAACTGACCAAAGATGGCAAAGTCAAACTTAAAACTAAATAGTAAGAAGCATGATAAACTCAGTATTGACATTCCTGTTAGAAAAAAATAATTTAGTTTTACTTTAGGTCATTCGCAAATTTTGGGAGATCCCCCAGAAGTTTTGAGCTTTTTGCTTTTAAAAATCTACACCACAACTTTCTAAAGGCTCAAAAGAGACCCTTTTTGAAGTCAATTGTCAAGGCCTTAATTATACATTCTATGTGTGCAAAACTTCCATTTTCGGGCAATTGAGCTTTTGCAATAAAATTTTAGACCACATATTCCTATGGTCAGTCTTCCTTCTTAAAGTACCCAATCGACATCCCCCTGTTCCGATCTGCACATTCTCTTCTTTTTCCTCAAGCGGGAAATTCAGATATCATCATAGATTCCTTAACACAAAATCTTCCTTTATGGTTTTAAATGGGACAAATCTAGACAAACACAATGTAATTGTGAAATACTTAAAACGCCCGTATGTGCAGCACATGGCAAAAGAAAAATTCCTCATATGTTAGTTAAGCCCCAGAATCAAAATACAGAGTCCGTATATACCATGGTATTATTTTCCAAAGAAATGGCTTGTGTCTCTAAATAAACCAGTGAATAAAACGGTCGGACAGAAAGTGCAAAAAACATTCCCAACTTTAAATTTACGGGCATAAAAACAATATAATTTTATAAAACAATGAAATTCAATATCTGAATTCTTTAATATCGTGAACTACCCTGTTACGACAATAATTCCTTCATGATACTTCACATTTTCTCGTTATTGTGTCAATATGTATTTCGAAGTTCTGAAATCTTAACAGAATGCCCCTTAGGTTATTATGGGTTCAACTGCACAAGTGTCTGTAGTAAAACATGTTCAACGCCAAGTGTTTGTGACCGATTTACGGGGAAATGCTTTGATGGATGTTTACCGGGATTCTCGGGAGATCGCTGTCTCAATGGTAATACCTCATGTTTTATAGATCATTCATTTTTTATATACATACGATCGAACAAAGTACTATACATTCCACACGAAAAAATTTTTTTCTGCTGGGAAAATAGAAGCACCTAGATTTGACTCTGAAACATTACAAGTGTATATGATTGACTACCTATGTCCAGTTTTTATGAAAAAGCTATGTTGATTTCTTTTGTTCTGGGGAAATTAAAAACGTTGAGTTACTCTTGTTACCAACACTTTACAAGGGTAGTAGCTGAAAACATGATAGCGTTTATCTTAACGATTGCTTTGTCGCTTTGATGATGGTTTTAATGCCCCCAAAACCCCGTTTATATTCTCTTTTTGTTGTACTTCTTTTCGTGTTT